TATTTCTCTCTGATGAATTTAACTTAGGTGTGAAGTATCTTGTCCTTTATCATGACTGTAAATCACAAAAATACTACCATATCTTTCTCTAAGCTACTCCATGTCACACACACACACACCCTCATTTGGCATTAATATACAGACTTGATGCTTCTGGTTTTCTAGTCTCTAGATAAACTGGGTCCTTTTTGGAAATTACCTAAGACAAGGAGAAATAAAATAAAGAAAAATAAAGAAAACAATGCCACTTTTAAATAATGCAATTTTTTTGTTCTAGTTTGGCATTCTAAAAATATTTGTCTGTATTTATAAAAGCGCGTGACCTCTTATTATTAAAATTGAAGATGTGTTCTCCTTTTGGAAATGTCCACTTATATTGACAAAAGAATTTCAGGAGCTGACTGAATGCCACTGTAAACTTATCTGCATGCAGGTATCTGAATACATGGGTAACTTGCTGAGTATACATCAGCAAAATATCAGTGAGCAATTCAGACACAATCAATCAAGGACTACAGAATATGATTTAATTAATATTTTACAAAGGTATATTGGTTTTTATAATAACAAATTCATTTTTTTCTTAGCTCCTCTTCCTTCCCCTTTGCGAAATCTTTAATGAGCATCTGAAGCAGTTTATTTTTCTATTTTTGCTTTAACAAGTTTGAGAAGGGCAAATCACTTTAAAACTCCAGAGAAACTAGACAAGAGCTAAACATTTTCCTTGGCAGGTAAGAGGACACAACAGCAGAGGTAAATTTAAACTTACAGATATCAAAATAAATTAGTACATTGCCACCTTAAACCTACACACCCCTTTAAAAACACTGCCTTAACTTAAATAGTGCAATAGGTAATATAACTACACACCTAACATGAAGTCAATATTCTTCTTTCATTCATACAACTCTCATTTGGTGCATCAGTGAGAAGCAGCTCTTTGGAGGCTCTCCCTGCCTGCTGCCCCACTCCCCCTCCCTTTTTTTTTTAATTAAAAAAATCATCCGTGCTTTGAGATGTATCTCGGAGTATTGTTCCTGAACAATTTTTATAAAAGTTTTGAAAAGTTTTATGAAAGACCCAGAAAACCACTGCAGCAGTCAGATCATTATTGCTAACTATTATGTATATAGGCTTAATCCAAATCCCGTTTGAAGTCGATGGAAAAACCCCCGTTGCCTTCAGAGGCCTTTGGATCAGACCCTTTGTTTCCAGAGGTACGGCACAGCAAATTTCAAATGCATGCAAGAGGGAAGAGCGTGCAACCACTAAACAACTGCTAACACTAATCTTCTGTGAAAAAAAAAAAAAAAAAGAGACTGTTCTTACAAAGGACAACTTAGAATGATGAGAGTTTACATTTGATGGTATGTATTTTTAAAATCCGGGCTGCCAAGGGCCCAATTCTGGGTGTTTTATTCCTGCACATACACCTAGGAATTGAGGCATCATAAACAGAACTATGTTCAATTTTAGAGATCATACGGCAAATTTTCATGAAAACCTGATAGCACTGGTATCACTAGGAGATTTAAAATATTCCATATGAATGCAGTGATAGCTGTGGACATATTTCTGCAGCATTCTTAGGAAAATAAGAAACTGGTTCGCTTGCTAGTGGTAAGTTACAGGCCAGATTTACTAGGGATCCCCCCAAAACACACATACTACATGTATGTTAGTGAATTTCCCAGTAGAGAGGGATTGATCCCAAATCCATCAAGCTCAACCAAATTCATCCAGGCACAGGGTTAAATGTACAAACAAGTACAGATTTACACAGTCAGTACGGTTTACGGTAGCATAAATTTAGGACTCAAGTGCGTGTGCACTTGAAAAAATCTACCCCGCCATTTTACATCTACTGGGATCACTCTCCCCGTGAGCATCTATTGTGCTGGCTACAGTGATTTCAACTTTTTGTCTTCTGGCTGCAATCCTAAGTCTAGCTAGCTGCACACATACTGAATAAACGAATACCTATCTTTGCAAAAATGAAATGCATTGTGTGACTATGCACAAGATACGAACACATACATAGCTATGATGAAACATGTTCTACAACATGTCTTATTTTGACAATGACATGCAATCATATTTCTAAATTTATTTTGTTTTCGGCCTGGTACAGGCTCTATAAACCAAAATTAAAACTGTATCACAGTATTGCTTTGTTATATATATTAGACCCCCATAATAACAACCATTGCAGGGGGAGAAGGAGGGAGCGCTGATTACCTGCACCTGTTTCAAGCTGAGAGCGACTGATGCAGTGAGCAGGAAAAATGCCTAATTAGAGAGCATTTCCATTTTCTTGAGGGAAGGTGTCGTGATCACAGGCCTGCCTGTGCCAGGAGCACCCATGTGCACAGGAGACCCTGAGCACTGCTGCACAGGGTGGAGGACCCTGCCGAGGTTTGTTACACTGCAAGAATATGCCTCAAGTGGAACCAGGGCTGAATGCAGTGAAGCCAGGTTGTCTGCAAGGGAGCTGCTGAAACACTTTGTGGATGTGAATTACACACACACACAAAATCAGAAGAAATCTGGATGAAACAAGGCATTTCTTCCACTTCTCCTTTTATTTCTCTTTTGCTGCTGCTAAACGTTTAGGAATACTTGGCACATACCAGGAGAAGGTAGTGCCATACCAACACATTTGTACAAAATATGATCCAGCCTTACATTACCTCCTATATTCAATGAAGACAACAACTCAGGGCTGCACCTACATTTGAAAGCGGGAACTCCTGTTCCATTCCCTTTCTTCACTCCACCTCCTCTTTTCTCCCTCCCATCTGCCCACAATAAAATCTCCCTTAACCTTGCAGTCTTCACCCAGGCAAAATTCCAATTCATTTCAGAAATTTTAGCTCGAATAAGGATGTCCCACACCCAATTTAGTGTCCCTGGGAGTAACCAACCCATCACAATCTATCAACTTGTGTAAAACCTCGTGGACTGTGCTCAGTCTACTTCAAGCTGCTCTCTCCCTTTCACGTAACTGTGCTCTCTGTAGAGCACTTTGTCTTACCCACAGGCCTAGAAGATATGCACCTCTCTCCTGTGTTCCCTGCTTCGCCTGCGTTAGTATCATCTGGGAAAAGTCAAGAGAGCTTAAGAATATAATGCTCATTTACCACCAGCACCTTAAACACCCTTTTGGAGGCTAAAAGTCCATTGGGGAGGGGGGGAAGAGACAGAGTTTGGAGTAAAACCAGCTTCCTCCTGTAACAGTGCATCTTAGACTATTTTCACCATTTTTCGCTATATTATTAACTGAAAATATGCTAAAATTCATCCTAATTGCCTATAAAAATTCTTCACATTTGGGAACTATTGCCTATGGTTTTAATTTTTCATTCCATACATGAAACTTTTTTTTTCCTTACAAAAACACATGGCAGTTCAACACAAAACACTTTCAAAATGTAAATGCTTTATCACACATGCATAATTCCTGAAGGCATTCATCTGAGGGGCTGAACATTTCTATCAGCAGATATATTTCATGTTCTATATAAAATAATTCTAAATTCAAAAAACAGAATCCCCCAAACTAACAAACAGATTTTAATCCCTCTTCTTTAATTAACATACACGTGTTCTTTATGCACTGCTATGTCCATATTCAGCATGCTTAAAGAAATCCTCAAAGTGAAACAACCCAGTATTAAGTCAGTTCTTCTTTTATTTTCACAGTGACCATTTCTGGCAAGCCACCACAAAATAATGAACTAATACATCAGAAGCTATTTTATATTCCTTGAAGTGCTACCACTCAGCAACAAAACAACACCAGCAAGTGTTGTACAACCTAAGAAAAAAAATCCTCTTTAGATACACAGCATCACTAGGGGCAATATCATTGAGCACTCTGAAATTTCTCAGTGAAGAGTGTTTAGGAGTTTCTGATTTTATAACAAGTACAAGTTAAAAACCTTGACTAATACTCAATTTGCATTGTCCTGTAGAGCTACTACAGGCCTCTAAAAGGTATTTTGAATAAATTTATTTTAGCTGAGCTATCACCAAGCCGTACGTTCCTAAATTTCTTTCTTAATCTGCACAGTTCACCAAAACATTCTCTACTTACTTTCAGCTCAATCAGCCAATAAATACTTCTTTACTGCTTAAAGTTATGAGTTGTTTTTTGGTTTATGTTGCCATAAAACAGCTCAAATGCAATGCCAATACAGAGACAGTTTTGATACAATACTGTCAGTGGCCTAAATTTAAAACTATTTCTGCACAGGCCACTACGTATTTTCTAGTTACGGGGGGGGTGAGGGGGAGGGGGGGGGGAGGGTGGTCCATTTGGATTTGTTTTCTTATTTACTTAAATTTATATAAATAAAATGAAAGGAAAAGATTCAAATATTTTACGTAAGTGTCCAGATTTTTCAGTGTAGAGGAAAGCATTCTGTTTTACAAATACATATGAAAGGACTAGATTTCCCAAAGAGGGTCTTTAAAATATATTTTTTTCTAGCTACTTTAATTTACACGTGCAGTTGTCTAAATAAAGCATACAGGGTAAGTATTACAGGTCTGCCAATTTCAGAGTAGTTATAAATCTTAAATGTGCAACCCTCTGCCAGATTGTACCTAACTCAGAACATCTATAACCGTATGCTACTTTCCTCTATAAATGGCATTACTCAAATATTGAAGCAATATACTTAAATAAATTCCTTCGTTAACACCCGAAGAGCAAGGGAAAGAGTGGGAGTGAGCGTGAGCATGTGCCCGTGCGCGCACACAGGAGATAAAGGAGAAAATACACTTATGACATTTACAGACCTTAAAGGCTATCCAAAACAGTATTTTAAAAACAGATGATAAAAATGGCAATTATAAACTCATCCTGAACAATTCCAAGTACTACAAGAATTTAAATACGAACCCTGGAAATCTTCACGTCCAAATTCACATTGCTAAGACAGTCAAGAAAGGCAATTGCAATGAGCTACAGTTACTAAAGATCATCACATAGTTACCTCAGGAATATTAGTGAAGAAGGGCGAGCGTGTACATTGGTGCACAGGCGTACGAGTGGCAAAAAACCCCACGGCCGTGTTACCAGCTGCGTTGTAACTGCTCTGCACACTGATGTTTAACAACGCTGCAAGCACGCTGAAATATAAAATAGATGTAAAAAAAACTTTCACCGCCCAACTTTGTATCTTTCCTTGAGCTTCCTTCTATTAAAAAAAAAAAAAAGAAAAAAAAAGAAAAAAAAAAAGAAAAAAAAAAGAGAGGGGGAAGAGAATTGCCATTGAAGCACGAAGCTACATTGCAATCAATGAAGGAGCGACTGGCACAAGTCCTAGAACATTTGCATTCAGAAATAAAAGCTGTGATCGACCTTTGTCTGCGCAGAAAACGAAGCTTCGCCGGCTTTCGACAGCCGAGCGAAGGGAGGGGCCGGCTTGGCAGGGAGGGCGAATAACCCCCACCGTAAAAATAAATAAATAAATAAATAAATAAATCCCAAACCCACCGGGGGCACGGAGCCCCGGGGGTGTCGAGCCCCGCGTCCCTCCGGCTGGAGGCGAGGGGCAGCGCGGTGCACGCCGACTTTCCCAAACTTGCTGCTGCCGCCCCGCGGGGCTCGGGCAGGGGGCAGCCCAGGGCCGGCCCCGGCTTCACCTCGCAGGGAAGGGGAGGCAGGCAGGCAGGCAGGAGGCGAGCCGGCGGCTTCCCCCGGGCACACGCAGGCCTGCGAGGAAGGGCAGGCGGTCCTTACCTCGGCGGCTCCTCCGCACGCTGCCCCTGCCACAAGTGCCCCTGCTGCCAGCTCCCCGCGACAACAATGGGAGGCTGCGAGGGGTGGCATGGAGGGGAAGGGAAGGGAGAGAGGAGGGAGAAAGGGAGGGAGGGAGAGAGGGAGAGAGGGAGGGGAAAGAGAGAAGCGTGTTAAGCTTGTCTGGTAGTTAACAAGTCTTGAATGAAGAATGTTAGCAAACAGACAAACAGCATGTCTGATGCATGCTAATAGTCCTGGCTTCACCGCTGACACTATGAATAATTCAGCAGAGAGGAAGGAGGAAAGGAGTGGGGAAAAAAAAAAAAAAAAGGCACCCTCCACTCTGCCTTCACGCTTTCAAATGTCTGCAGAGAAAACGAGAATAAAAGTATGCCGCAACTCTCCCCTTTCAACCCACGGCTACGGAAATATTCCGAAAAAAAAAGGCCGGCTAGGCACCACCACTCTCGCCAGGGCTGCCTCTCAAAGATCTGCGGCTCCTATTTTTGTTGGCTATTAATTTCCCCCCCTCCCTCTTTACCGCCTATTTTACTTCTTTTGTCTAGGAGCTGGCACCTGTCCCAGAGACGGCATTTTACTGCACATCCCCTCTTCCTCCTCAGCAGGGAGAGGCTCGCAGGGACGAGGCAGCCTTTGTACCTCTGTCCCCACAGCAGCCCCCCCCACGTTTCCATTTCAGATTGCAAGGGGCTTGGAGGGACATCAGCTGCTCTATTTCATGTGGTGGAGATACCTAAAGCCACTAAAAATATATTCGTGCTAAAGAGAAAGCCAGAGAAGTAGCAGCTTGTTCTGTAGGCAGCGTGGTGCACTGATGCTGGGGGGGGGGAAGGGGGGGGAATCACAAGTAAAAGGTTTCGTTCTCACAGCATACAAACTAGCAAAGCCCGATTCATCGCTCAGTCAAAGAAATCAATTTCTTTAACCAAGGAAAAAGAGAGGGAGAGGAGAGGGAGAGAGAGAAAAGGATCAGCGGAGGGGAAAATACTTGGAGCTTTAACCTCCACATTGCGACGTACAGTACAGCCAAGCAAAGCCCAGAAGAGATGGAAAATTAGCCCAGCTCTTACACAGTGAAAGAGGAGGGTTAAATAAAGCAGAGAGAGGGAGGGAGGAAAAAAAAAAAAAAAAAAAAGCTCCTATTTGCAGCATTTTAAAAAGTTCTGCTCTGGCAAAGGCCGTCTGAAGGGGAGGCCCTTGCAGCAGGAATGCGAGCAGCAGTAAGTAGCCTTTTTTCAGAGTCCAGCCTCCCCCTTGCGAGCAACTGGAGCAATCTGGCTCAGCGAGAGGAGGAGGAGGAGGAGGAGGAGGAGGAGGAGGACGTGAGCTAGCGAAACGCAGAGGGCCAGAGCTGATGATGAAAGAGGCACGGCCCTGCGCGAGCAGGCCCGGGCCCCGGGAAGAAACGAAGCGGCACCGCGCCGGGCTACACGGCGATGTCGCCCGGCTAACGAAGCTTTTAATTGGGGGGTGGGATAGGAGGGAAGGCCCTAGGAAAATATCTTTCGGGATTTAGAGTGGGGAGCGCCAGGTTCCTCTGGTTTGCCCCACCTAGGTATGGGAAAGCACTACGTGAGGACCGCCAAAATGCGGCACGAGAAACGCACCGAGCTGCAAATGGAGATTCAGAGGAGGAGGAGAGAAAGAGAGGAGGAAAAAAAAGAAAAGTAAATGCTGCATGTGACAAAAAAGCTCGGTGATTTTGTTTTCTCATGCCCTTACTTCTAAACCAGCTGCACAGCCAAGCTCAGGCTGCTTGGCCCTTATAACTATCTTGGCACAGAGTCAAAAGCTGATAAGCATTTGGGCGAGACAGCTCAACTGCTGTGCTGGAAGAAAAACAGCTGCCATGATTGCTGTTTGATTGAGAGCGCTTACACATACTCACAAAAAAAACATATCGGACTGCAAAGACGGGCCACAAATGCCTGAGGATTCAGCTTCAGAGGAGCAACGCACATTTTCCCCCCTTTAAAAAAAAAAAAAAAAAAAAAAAAAGTTTTATATAGTTTTTCCTCCATTTGCCCTCCCCCTTTTTTTAAAGAAAACGTACTGCGTAGACTTGCTTTTCTTCTTCCCATCCCCCCTCCATAACCTCAAGCAAACTCAAGGAATTGTGCCAAAAGTCCCGTTGCTAGTTACCAAGTGCATTTTTTTAAACGTCACTTTCTTTCCCTCATGCTTGCCATGGAATATGCAAGTAAGATAATCTTTCCATTACTTACAAAAAGTAATTAAAAAAGGAAAGGAACTTCTAGCAAACCTTCCTTTTTCTGCCTTTTTTTTTTTCTCTTTCTCTGAAGGGGCAAAAGAAGGGAAACGAGGGGGAGAAGAATATTTTTTCTCTTTGCAGAGTCCAACATTTGGCTTTGTCCATTTGTGGCAGATCACTGTAACGCTATTGTAAAACAACTTCCTGCCCCTTTTGGCTCCGGTTCCAGAAGCTACTAGGCTAAGTTAATAGCACAAACTTTTTTCCCCCCTACCGAAGAAGAGAGACCAAAAAAAATCCTGCAAATTATTTTCCCCCTTTTCTGGCTAATGGACTCATAAGGTGAACTCATGGCAGCTCTTTAAGAATGTTACACAAGAGACATCGCTACCTCAGCTGGATAATTCGAGCTGAAAAGGTGGGGTCATTATAAGTGTACATGTATCTGTGTCTGTGTATGTCTATTCATTTTAATTCTGTAATTTTAAGTTGCAAGTCTTAATACCATCAGGTGGATAATGAGTTAAGCTGCTTCATCTGTTGTACTAATTTGTGTATCTATCATAGCACAGATCATTGGTTTAGCATATACAGTCTCCTACTTTCCAATTGCTTTCGTTCTCTAAGGTGGCCTGCCTCTCTCTCTACTCCCTCCCCTCCTCTAAATGCTTAGTCCAATGAAAATACCCACCTAAGGCTTCTAAACCCTTCCTGCTAGAAACTGGAGATGTTGCAGTCTCTATGCTATGAGCCAAAAAGGAGAAAATAAGGCCTCCACAACTTGCTCTCTCATGATCTCTCTCTCTCTCCCTCTGTTTCTCTCATAGCAACAGCATTTCTTGGTACGCCTGCTTTGGCATACATCAGCATTTCTACCCGTCCAAGTGTCCTTTTGCGTCACATCTCGCCATTTCACTCAACCAATGAGATCTCCGTGTTGCAGTAAAAATATATATACTTTTTCTGTTATTGGTATATTCAAAAATTTGTTTATGTGCTTTCCTAACAAAAAATGTTCTTCAGCATTTGATTTGCCCTGTGTGAAGAAAAAAAAAAAAAAAAAAAAAGAGAGAGAGACTGTACAGGATTCAGCCTTGAAGAGTCCTCTTTGTGGAAAATATATTACCGTAAGAAAAAAGGGATTGCATGGTTACTTAAGGAAAGTCGTAGTTGTCCCCCTGATTTAATGTTTATTTTGCTTATGCTATCATTGGTGTTCTTTTAAAATAGTTAGGCAGTTTCAACTAACTGGAAAAGTCAATACCATGTGTTTCTAAGACTTTGTAAAATACTCCAAGGGAAAAAAATAAAAAGATATTGATGTTTTATTCCTCTAAATATTGATCAAGAAATTATAAAAAAAAATGCAATGGAAAATTGAGTTTCTATTTCTCGTAACTCAGATCCCATCCAGAGAGGCTGCTCTCTAACCTTCTGCTTAGAAATGCACGATCCTGCAAAACGGAGCAGAGGTCTTCTCAGGTTTTTTCTACGATGTATTTCCCTCTTACATAAACTCACAGTCTTCTAAAAATAAAGTATTTAAATGATCAGCTGTGGTAATGACAGTGACAAAGCTTTAATGCTATTTACAATAGCTTGTAAAGCAGCCATCCCAAGAGCTGCATGCACTCTGCCTAACTGATAAGACTGGCAAAAGCAAGAATTACTAAGAACAGTGTATCCTGCGTTTGACGGGACACACTTTCCACCTATACATCATAAAGCGTATTAAAACCCTTTTCATTGTTTTCAGACATGACACAGTAACTGTGAATACATTCTATTAAAACACACAATATTAGCTAAGTGTAGAAAGCATAGTGTGGCACATGTGGGTTTCTTAGAACTGTCTGGCTGTGCCACATCTTGAATGACTACTGCAGTGACATATTTAGAGACCCTCTGTTGCACATTTTTATCCAGCCTCAAATCTCAAGAAAATGCACAACCACTGGCATTCTGAGGAGAATAAACATTTCTTTTGTAAGCCAAGTATATGTTTTACGGTTTACCCTTACCATCTTTTCTCTCTCCCTCCCCCCCCCCCCTTTTTTTTCAATAGTGTGAAACCACAACATGTTTTTAATATTTATTTTTTGAGAATTACAGTAAAAACAGACTCAAGACTATCAGGATGTAACTGACAAGATAATTAAACAGCAACTTTCCCACAAAGTTTTATGTCACACCTAGTAATTCTGAACTCTTCTAATAACTGAGGTATCTGTTGTGCACAGGCTGTGGAGGATACGTATTCATACATTCTGGGTGGTGAAAAAGTAAAAGCAAGCAGAACTTCTGGATAACAGACTTAGCAACAGATAGCCATAGTGTCCAGCTAAAACTCTTATCATTTTTGTTTAAAAATAATGACATGACATTCGTGATAGTATTTATTTTAACAGACATGCACAGATGAGAATGTTAACCCTGCACAGAAGAGAAGAGATTACATGGGATAGTACATTCAACAACTTTTGATGCCGATGTAATATAGAAGACAACTATTTTTTAAGGAAGAATTAAATTCAAGTATATAAATAACTTAGCTGGCAGTGTTTTATTTGCATTTAATAGGATTTCTAAATGACTCTTCACCCTTTCTCTTGGACACTATTTTCAGCACATTATTTATTATTCTATATATATAAATATAAATACATATCTCCCTATTCTTTTACTTTCTGTACCTCTTTTTTTCTCACTTTTTGTAAAAATGTGAAGGCACCTGAGTTTCACCTCTGCTTCTGTCTGTCTCATAACTGAGATAATTCTACTACATTTGGAGGGTTAAAGGTAACTCCTTTACACAGTTGTGGCTCAGACTCATTCACTGTAAGTTATCCTTCTTTACACAAGACACACAAATGCATTGTATGTGTCACCATAGCTGTAAAATAAGATTGCAAGTCATCTAATTTTAGGTTACTACAGTACTAAAAAGATAAGGATTCAGAAAAGCAATTAAGTGAAGTCTAACTTGCAGGCTTCACTTAAGAGAAATGGAATTCCAAAAAAACAAAGTGGAAGAATTATTTCAACATTAATTATCCGTGAATAAATTTAAATAACATAAATGGTAATATGGTGACAGTTTTGCACTGAAGTTTGCTTATACTATTACATAATTTTATAACCCTTTTCTTTCCTCTTATCACAAGTTCTGTCTATTGGAAACTCATTAATAGATACTTCTGCTAATACACTAATTCATCGTCTTGTATTTTAAGAAGAAAAATAGTCTGTGTTTTATGCAATACAGGCAACAAACTATCTCTGAAGAGATCTGTGATTTTTTCTTTCTAAATAATATAGATCATTTTCAAGATTGGATGTTTTCCAATCTAACAACCTCCAGAAATGTTTAATAAAAAATTAGCAGGTATGTTTTTGTTGTTGTTGTTGTTGTTTTTGTTTTTTTAAGAAAAATAATCCTACCAAACATGTTAGACTTTTAGGATAAAGCCATCCATAAGAGTGCAAACTGACATTTTTGAATTTTTACTTTCAGTATCATTAAAGTAATTCCAGTATATCTTATAAGAATTATCACTAAGAATTGCTATACTTAACATTTGGAGAGCATTTATTTTTAAAGACACTTTCCACAGATGAAAAAAAAAATAAAATAAATAAAATAAAAGCAGTCTTGCCTGTTGTTCTCTACAGGGATCGAAGGTGCTCTGTGGGATTATACCTGTACTTCACAGAAAGGACACTTTATAGAAAGCAAGTAATTACATATTGTATAGGTTGGGAAAGTTCTATTCTACTGTTGAATTAACTCACATTAATTCCAGTGGATCAGTGGTGTATTAATTTAAGGGGGAAAAACATTCAAATACCAAATAAAGACAATTTTGAAGTAAGCAATTCCAAACTGTAAAGGCATTGCTGAAGAAGGATGTATTTCCAACATCCTTTCCTACAAAAACATAATGAACCATTTTGCAAAAACATTTCTTTCAGTACACTGTATTTTAACATTAATGTTTTACAGCAAACTTGGCATTAAACCGGTATCAACACAAATGAAAATCTGGCAGTAGGACAATTTTTTTTTTAAATCTTTATTTTTTTCAAGGAAAGAAGGCATTAAACAGTGCATGGCATTAGCAGTTTTTTAAAGAGTGTTACCAACACAATTTTGTTTATCTTGCAACTATTTATTTATTTTTTACTATACAAAGCTGTATGCCCAAAACTGATGGTATTAATATTTTGCTTATATACCATGCTTACTGATGAAAATTTACATCACAAGCAACAAATCAGAGCCCAAGATAAGATTTTATTTGCTGGCTTCTACTTATTTATCATAAATATGCTACAAAGTTCCCGGAGGCTAATGTAACTGCAGCATGTATTTGTGAAGTAGGTGCAGGCTGGAAATTAAGCAGCGGTACACTCACATCTAGTTTAGATAAGAAAAAAGCTCCTCAGCTGTAAAGCATCACCATTTTCTTTTATTGACGATGTAACTAAGCTTTAAAATACACCCAGCTTCCCCTGGTCATACCAATTCATGCTCTGACGGACTGCAGCCTATTCTTCACACCGAGCAATGATGGTGCAGTTCCATGCTGCAGATTGCTGTTTCCTGCTCTTTTTTGGGAGCCCACGGCACTCCTGGACCCTGGCCCTGCTCACCTGGGCCGGCCTGCAGCCCCTGCAGGTGCAAATGCCCCCAAGTCCCCAGCTCCCCATGCCACTCAAAGGGTGCCTCCTGGGGGCTCTTGGTCCTGGCTACCACGCGCAGCAGGCATTGGCCAGCCCAGGAGTCAGCAATGGCCACCAAGGGTTTGTGACTCCGACAGAAAAAGCAGAGACTTCCCTCATCTGCAGGACCTCCAGCTACGCTCAGAGGGAAAAGAGACAGCACTCTTCCTAGGAAATGCGACATTTCACATGCAAAGCTCACAACCTAGAAATGTCAAAAGACTCTTACCATCCACTGTTACTGCACCTTTGGCAGTGACTGACATCTCCAGTTCCCCAACTACAAATACTCTGTTCTGTCAATACTTTTCTCCTGAATTCACTAGGAACGTGGAGTTAAAACAAGCTATTGGATTTTAAAACACACCACCCCTCTGTTTATTTAAATAGGCAGGTCTGCTTGAAGTTGGATGCCCTGCAGAAACAGCTACAGGGAGGGGGGGAAGGGGGGGGGGGGGAAGAGAATTAGAAAAAGGAAAGAGAGAAAGAGAGAGAGAAAGAAAAGGTAAATATCTTATTGAAAAATAATAATATTCTATTTTTTAGAGAAGGATAAGCTGCAAAAAGTAAGCAAATGCACACAGTGACATCTGTACTGAAAATTTTAAATTTCTCAGGTCTGTAAATAAAAGGGATTAAAATACTTTCAATATAGCAAATTACTCATAGGCTTCTCAACTAGGCAAGTACTGTCAACTCGACCAAGTTTTGTGATATGTTAAGAGTATCTGATTTTTAATTGCAATAGTGTACTACACTGCTGAACAAAGTAAATTGCAGTGGGAACAGAAAAGGAAACATACTATGGAAATTGCCATGTGCTTTTTTGTACTGAAATATTAGTAAAGGTGAAAAATACGCATATGTTGGAAAAAAATAAAAAGGGTTGTCCATTTTTATAACATATTCATAGCATAGTTGCAATTTAGTACATACAAAAATACTTAATCCAGAATGGTTGTAGACAGAGAATACCCAGGTACATTATCACTTTATGAGCTGAATATTAGTATCATATCTATTTTATATAGGCAATTTTATTCTTACAGTTAAATTAAATATTTCTTTTTAACCCTTTAAAACTAAAATATATGGTACATTAGATGCATCTTAGATTCATCTGTCTCACTTGGATATCTAAAATATTACTGGAGTTTCAGAGTGTAGCAGAGTATATTGGCACTGGTAAATTTAAATCCCTCTTAGAAAAAATCTCATAACATGAACAATATTGACACATTACCATTACTGTTATTACCATAAAATATAATGTCGATGGTATAACAGCCCCATTGAAAGTATTAATGTATTTATTTGTGCAGATAGTACAGGCTTTACATTCTTTATTGCAAGCAAAAAAAAACCACCATCTTCGATTCAATACTTTATAAAACTTGTGTTTCATGAACTATCTTCCTGGGAATCATTTTTTCCCCTCCGTCATGTTATACACGTTATAAAGTTGTCACACTTGTATTCATTATCAAACTTCTTACACTTTGAAAAGATGTCTAAATTTACATATTCAGCTTTAACAGTATTCTGCAATTTTTCAGTTTTAGTAAACAAAATGTCACACACATATGCAATTCTGTATTTCCTTTGTCTAGAAATATGTATTCCCATACAGAGATACATTTAAGCATTCTGTGATACATATACACATGCATTTCACATTTGACAAAAATGACAGAATACATATAAAGATTCTTAGAAGATTTGAATGGGCTACTACCCCACTCCCAAATACATGCTGTGAACAATGCACAGCATTATGAAACTTGCAGCAGTGGAAGTTCAAGCGAACTCCACTAACACCAGCTGCAGTGGTGCACTTTTGGCTGTGGAGCTCAAAAGCAGATGTAGTAGCAAGGCCTCAGTCTGGAATATCACTGTCTCAATTGAACCATTTATGTTTTTATGGAAAGAAGAGACTTTTGCATTCTGTTACCTTGGCATTAGATATCATGTAAACTATTTTTAAAAAGAGAGTGTCATTTTGGTATTGTCTGCAAACCAGTCGTTTATGGGAAAAAAATATTTCTTTGTAATTTCTCATTTTACTTTGTAAAAGACTAATCAACATCCATGTATGCCATAATTTAATATGCATTATTTTAATGAAGCTTATTGCAACCTGACGAAGCTTTTACAAACACTTTTATAAGCAAAATATTTACTTGGGTTTTTACTGTGCTATTGATGCTAATAAAGTGCAATACAAACGATAATACTGGCATCACCAAAAAAAAATTAAAAGAGAAAATTGTGAAAAACTGCTTCCAGACTTTCCTAGTGAGCTATTTTTTGAGTTGTTTAAAAACACTTCCTTTCCAAAATACTGAAAATTCTCAGGGGATATCAGTGACTAATCCATGGAAATTTTAAGTTTCCAACTTAACCATTTTTTGCCAGGGCATAAACACATGTTAGTGGAGATTTTAGGTGGATGATAAAAGCATTGAGATCTTAAAAGGTCAGCTTTTAATTTTATATTCCCAGAACACATTATTAACAGAAACATCATGCAATCATTTTTTTCTTGGTCCACTAAAAAAAACAACTATACAGTGTTGTTTTTTTTTGTTGTTTGTTTGTTTGTTTGTTTGTTTGTTTTCTAGTGCAAACAAGCAACTTAATAAGAAAATCATGGAAGGAAAAAAAAAAAAAAAGACAGACATCTTTTGTCTCCTGGCAACAAGACAGTGAGACTCTCCCTGACTCAATTAGAAATACATCTGCTTTTCAAAAACTTTTAAAGCCAAATACCAAAATCAAAGTTGTCATCCAAAGCCTAAATAGCTTCCATCATTTAGCTGTAAGAAAAGGAAACAATTCCCCCTCCACCCAACAACTGTTTTAAAAAAATGTCATACTTCATTCTCTTCTGTGTGTATGTGCACAAATATATGTATGCTGTGTGTAATATGGTAGACCTACTCATGAGATATGTATGTATTTGTATATGTGCTTGTATAGTCTTGTGTTACAACAGGCCAGCAAGTGTAAAGACTATTAGAGTAAGACTGTTCTCTTTATATTATCTTGCTCAGTATAAATCACAGTAATTTAATAATGCAGCCTAAAAATTACTAATAAAGGGTTAAATTTGAATTTTAAAAGGAAAATCGTGGGCGACATCGTTTAGAACTAATTGTTTTTTTCTAGTTACACAAATAAACGTGGCATTTAGAGAATGTCAAAATATCTAAAATGTAGCATAAGAACTATACAAAAAAGTTGGTACTATATCCGCACTAATTTTATCCCTTCAACATTATCATAACGGCTCACCACTACATTCAGGAAACGTGTACAACCAACTAACTGTTCTGTAACTACCTGAATTTAAGACCTTTAAGACCCTTAATAGACCTGAAACAATTAGGGAAATAAAGATAAGGTATTTCATCTACTAACTCACTGCACACACAAACCAGAATTTTGTTCCAGCACTCAGCTGGCAGTGCTGTGAGCTTTCAGCACAGAGGAGATAGCAAAACAGACACTTGAGATTCATCGTGGGGATTTGCAAAACACAATTTTGCTTTAATACTATACTTACACACATGCTCAGATAGCAAATGGCTATCCCATTCGTACAGAGGAAAATTTTTATAGCAATTACAGATTTACTGTATTAGTGTTCACCTTTTACTGGCCAGCAACTGGCCAAAACCTTAATCAGGGTAAGAAATTTAATCCATTGGAAAAGACCATTTTGTGCTGGAACTACTGTGTTATTCTACCCTTTGTCTTTGCGTTTCCCTAGCAGGGAACGCCATTTTGAGGCTGTCATACATTTTTCTGTCCAAAGTGGATAATGCCTGTGGAAAGCATAAGGGTGGTATTCTCGTACCGCAGAAAAATGTAATACAGCAGTATCACAGGGAAGAAGCATTTTT